ATGGAACACTTAGTGGATGCCCCCTTTCCCCTCTGATGGAGAACTTAGTGAATGCCCCCTTTCCCCTCTGATGGAACACTTAGTGGATGCCCCCTTTATAGGGTGACAATGCTCTGTCCTTGTTCAGACACTTCCTGTTATAGGGTGACAACGCCGTGTCCATATTACGTCATTTATGTCCAAAACGGAGCAGGATCTGTCAGCGCGGAATATTTCAAGTGGATTGTAAGAGGAGTTCTTGCAGAATTGTATCCCGGGAGATAGAATATTATATTGTTGTAATGCCTTATAAATATTAGTCTCCTAACTCTCAGTCATCTAAATACATTCTCATTTATAGAGCATCAGAACGGAAAGAAACAAACTACTCAAAATGACAGAAGAATTCTGAGAAAAGTAGAAAGGAATTGTGATCATGTGACTCACCTTCCAGAAGGAGAAATGGGAGTAGGGACTCAGGACAGCCTGAGCGTCATTGGTGCCCAATAGATCATCAGTGCAGATGGAGCAGTTCTTCTCTCCTCGCCAGTCATAGTATGGAATAGCAAAGTCCTCATCTCCCGTCATCAGCTGAATTTGTCTCTCCAGGAAGAGGAGGTTTAGACGATGCCATCCGGGGAATACTGGGCCTTGATGGGCAAAGTTTTTATTTGGGTCAAATGTACTGTTTCTCAGGATGGGCTTCATGGAGTAATAATGCATCCATGCAAAGACATCGTATAAAGAGGCATCTACAAAGCGATAGGTCTCACGGTGATGCCGGTCTCCAGTACTCAGGATAACAAAGTCGCAGCTTTTTGTGGTCTTTGCCAGAGCCAAGTAACTGAATAATCTTTTCTGCTCTAAAAAGGTCAGTTCCCGCAGCTCCCGCCGCACAATCTCTTTCTTCCGCTCACATTTCTCTCCATGAAGTCCAAATTTACAGTCGCCGCAGTCAAAGCCGCTGAAGTTTCCATGGCACTCACAAGTATTTTCATAATAGTGTCTTGGCCAGTCTAGACGATCATCATTGTATTGAGGAACTTCTTTCCCCGTAAAAGTCAACCAGTTCCTGCATCTTCCTCGGCCTGACAAAGAACCACAAGGACTTTTGTCCTTCCAAAGTGGACAACAACTCTTGGTGAGAAAGGCGGCTTCTGTAGTGCAGACTCGTGGGAACTGGCTGTCCACAGCAGAGAGGCAGAAAATCAGGAGGAGGATGAGGTTCAGCATGACTCCCTATGGATGGAAAGACGGACATTAGAAGGTTCCACAGAATGCTATTATTTCCGGCTTTCCCAGTTGCTGATCTTCCACATACAGTATAATATGGGGACTCGAGAATTCAGCCATACATGAATGAGGGTTCCGTGCATTGCTATAGACTTCCAGTACAGAATACATCACATTTTATACCATCCATTCCTATAAATTATAGTCATCAATTCGGTCTATGCAACCAGAAATCCCCAATGTCTTCATACAGGTCCCTAAGGTCCTACAGCACCCTGAACTTCCCATCAGGGAACATGCACACTGATTACATGCACTAGATCAGTGGTTCTCAACCTGTGTAACCTCAGGACCCACTTTTGTTGTGACCCAGGTCGCACTGCAATGGAACGCACAGCATTGCGGTACCGTGTGTTTTCCGGTGCCAGCGATTGAACTGTGCAGGAGGTGCGTTTGGGGTGCCATTCAAATGAATGACAACACAACCCACCTCCCACACGCGCGTAGTAGGTGCGATTGCGTGGTACAGTTGCACACTGTTTGATTAACGCACTGTACTAGTGTGCACGGGCCCTAAAAACACTGACAGACACAATGTCACAAACACATGCACGCTAAGGTCCTCCCAGCCTCCCTACCTTATGGGAACTGAAGTGGATCCTCAGCCTGGGGTCCGGTGTGGGCTGCTGTGCTGTGATGGAGCTCCATCCATATGCGCATTGCTTGTACAACCCAATTGCGCGCCATGCAGAGGTGCCGGGAGCCAGAACGTGACAGTACTCCGGGTCCAGGCACCTCTACAGGACATGCGGAGAAGCTGTAAGCAATGTATGTATGGATGGAGCTCCCTCGCAGCTATAGCTCCAGCCCACCCCACCATAAGCTGACACTCGGCACCGAGCAGCATATGAATGACTGCTTGGCGCAAGAACTGACAGTGCTGCGCTAGGGGGAGGCTAAGAAGCCTTTCACCTAGAAAAGTGGAAGGCACGCGGCGACCCACTGAACACGGGGTCACGACCCACCAGTTGAGAACCAAGGCTCTAGATCACAAGGGACAGCGCAGCCTCCAGCCTCTGTCAATCATTCCGTTGGAGGAGGGGAAAGCTGGGGAGTGGCCATCCCCTTACGCTTCATGGTAATCGGGAATTCAATCTGAGTCATCAGTAGTGCCGGCCAGGAAGGAACATGGGACTATATCAGGACATGGTGCACCCAAAACAAGGACCATGAGAAGATAGTGTTCTGACAGAGGGGAAGCAAACATGGTAAGTGCCGAGGTCTGCAGCACTATAGGCGTTTTAAACTTTGTTCGGGTTGACTGGCGTTTTCTTCATCTTGCTTTGCTCCAGATTGTCCCTAACATTGTATCTAAGATTATGTCCCTCTACTCGTCCCCGACGGTCCCAATTCTGCTGAATGGCTCGCTCTCCAAACCCTTTTCTATCTGGAATGGCACTAGAATGGGATGCCCCCGTTTGCCTCTCCTATATTGTCATGGAACATTTGGCACAAGCTGCCCGATCCAATCCTGACATGCGGACACCCTCGTGTCACCATAAAATGTCCTTGTATGCGGAGGATTTGCTTCCATACATCACCAAACCCTCTAACTTTTCGGACCTTTTTGCTTTGAACTATACCCCCCTCCTCAACTCCCTGCGCCGCGATCTCCAATCCTACCGCTCCTATAATGTATCCTGGTTGGGCAAACTTGACGTGCTGAAGATGGTTGTACTCCCTAAATTATTGTATATTTTCCAAACTCTTCCTGTCCGGCCTCCCAAGCGGGTTTTTAAGACGCTACGATCCCCAGCGATCCAATTCATTTGGAACAGGACCCGGATATCTTCCCTTAATACATGTAGACCAGCCCTCCCCTCTCACACTCCATACCAGTGAGTCTTGCTATCACTTCCATTGGTGGTCATGTCAGCAGCGATTGGCCTACGGCTAGGGACTTGGTGGCTCCCTCTATTGGACGTGTGCGTGCCTCCTCTGCTGCTTCGGCTCATTGGCTCTCCAGCTTTTGTAAGCACCTATCTGACTCTAGGCAAGTCCATAGACCCTGAGAACCGGAACCGCAACGCCATACTCTCTCAGCGCTATATGGGATGTTAAAGGAAGATCTGCAGGTGCAATCCCGTGCTGATCTCAGACTGGAGGCCTCTGTCTCCTCCGGTGCACTCCATGGTATAAAGATCCGGTGCCGGTTCCCCGGATCTTTCCTGATTCTTCGGATACATGTTGGAGATGCCGGGAGGTTATTTACACATAGGGCGGGACTGTCCTATGCTCACCTCCTATTGGCAGAGAGTCATATTTATGGAAATACTTTAAAACCTTCACCTGAAACCGCTCTGCCCCCCTCCCCCTCCCATACCTTCCAGTCCTAGATCTATCTATCTATCTCACACAATGTATCGCTGACAATGATTTCTATGACGGGGAATATATTCCATTTGGGGGGGTCGCTGTATTGCAGCTGATAAGATGTCCTCCGGGGGACCCCCATTGATCCGGAGATGGAATCTCTGGAATGGAGATCTATAGATAATAGTGCCGGCTCGCCGGAGTCGTCATTATATTTTCACTCAGAA